TCGTTGTAACTCATCGCAAAACAATGATTTTTTCTAAATTGCCCCCGACTGTAGGGAAATGAACTGGAAATAGTTAATAAAGATGCTTGCAGGTATTGCCGACTTAGACTCAGTGGATCTCATGAGAGTTTCCATAAAGCCACCCTGTATCCCATTTGAAACTGATTATTTCCTACACGAACTTCCGAATGATGGTCGTCGTGGCGCAAAACGGCAACCTCTTAATACCAAAGCGGCTCTTAGAATTATCTTACCATTACGACAATGAGTCGAGTCGGCGATTTTTTACCAAAAGATAACTGAGCTCAGACATGAGAGCGGTTGTTAAGATACAATTGTTATGGAGGATTTCTGGCTTAAAGGGGCGATGAATTAAGATCACCGAGATGAACTTCGAATGGGGGGTTTGGGCTCGGTAGTTTAGCGGACGAAAACCCCAATACTTTCGCCGATTTTTCTCTCAATTTATTAATTGGCTTTTAATTAATGTGAAGCAGACGGATAAAACAGAGGCGAATACAATTTGGAAAAATCGTTGGTAATGTTCTGGAGGAAAATGCCCGCTTGGCGAATTGCATAATTGCATAGAGCAGGGCAATCTCAATCTAAAAAGTCTTTTCGGCTTTATGGACTCGGTGCCGAATTTCAGACAGGCAAATTCTCCGGAATAAAACTGATCTTTCTCGTTTAGTGGAGTTATCTGAGTGGGGCTCATTAACATGTAAAGCTACAGGATTAAACCCGACTTTAAACACCAGACAGTCCGGAGATACGGTTTCGGAGAACGAAATTAGTGTTTTGGGTGCAACTTAAACGCTACTACTAAAGTTCTCCGGACTACAGTGTAACTACTAATTAAGAAATCAATTAGAGCAAAGTAAACTTTTTAAGGTAACACAAATCAGTTGCAATGTTTCGGCTTTGAAACTTCAGAAGCATTTCTATCTACTTTTAAGCTGTGCTTTGCGATTCGGAAATTAAATTGACGCCTTAAAGTTGAATAGAAGAACAGTTTGTAGTGTTATTTTTTAAATATTTTTCATAATCAGGGCGATTCTAAGCTTGAAGACCGCTGATCTGATAAGTCTTAAGTTTGCTTAGCCAACAGTTGTATCTTTTCGCTTAGATATTTCCCTGCGTGATAACTTCTAGTATTTGCTTACTCTTATTATATTAAGTTTAAAAAAATATATATTTTTTGGATAGTGTTTAAAAAATTTAATATTTATGCGCGTTGGCAGGCTGAAATTTTGCACTATAAAAAGTGATTTGCTGTTTTGTGTTTCGTGCATTCAGGCATGAGTTAGCGGTTAGAAATGGAAATCAACAAAGAATTTACTCTTTGCGCGGTATATAAATTGATACACTGGGTGTTCTAAGACCATATGGTCAAAAGGATACACAAATTTGCAGCAATTTTCATTAAAATACATCTGAACGCTTGGCTCGATATATAAAAACCTACGATTTTCTATGAAAACTGTATCTTGGAAAATTGCATTTGGTTGAAAAACTTGCCGATTGATGGTTCAATGTTTTGAAGGTCGAAAAGACGATTTTCCAATCAAAGTACTTTGAATTTCTGGCTCGATTAACTTATTTTCAAAGGAGAACATGAAATTGGTTGCGAAGCGTATTCGCGACACATTCACTTCACTCTATAAGAAAATTTGTATTTGTAACAGTTTGGAAGGAAACGGGATCTGAATATTGGCAAGCGGAAAACTCGCACATACTTCCACTCTATAGYCTGTAACTCGGTCAGTTACAAACATTTTTCAGAAATTCAAAAACTTTTTAGAAGCACACACTTGGTGTAAAAAGATGCCTTAGGACCAACGTTTATTTTGGTTACCGTTTAAGCACCAGGAGAGTTTATTTCTTCAAAGATCTGAAGTGCTGGTCGTTCGCGGAATCACGCAATTTTGCTACAAGTTTCGCGCCGCACCAGCAGTTTTTTCTTCAAAATGTGTTTTCAGGGAGCAACTAAATGGCTTACAAACAATTTTGCAATACAAAAAAATTATGTTGAAAAACTGGAAATTTCCTAATTTTCTAAAATCGCAAATCTGCAAACTCTTCACTTAAGTGCCAAATTTAAACCAAAATTCCACTTTTTATTAACATGGGTTTCAAGTATAGTTTGGGAGAAAACGGAATTTGTAGTTAGAGAGACTTAAACTGCCATCTACATTGTTTGCACACTTATTTGCCCATAACTCCGCAACTGTTGGCAATTTTTCAAAAAGCAAACAATGCCCTGGGTTTCTACGGGTATTCGCTAGAGTTAAGCTGTCTTCAGGAAAATCGCCATTGGCAACAGTTTGGGAGATAATGAATGCCGAAWGTTGGCAACCGTTCGACTGTTCCATTTGCGCATACCTCCACTCTTTTGCCCGTAACTTTCTAAAATGTAGTGATATTTGAATATTGCCAAAACTCCCAAAAAGCCCATAGAACTAGCTATAAAAACCATTCGCGCTTCAAATAGGATAGTAGCAACAGCAAGGGAGTAAAAAGAGTTCGAACTTCAATTGTTCACAATTCAAATTGTGACATGGCATGGATCTATGAGGTCAAAATCCGTATTTAACAGTATTTCTCTCGTTCAATTTTTCCATTGCTGTCTCAGAATGATGCGGAACCTTTTACATCGCTAAGTCAGTAAGGAAACGCTGTTATTAGTGAATAGAAGCGCTTGAAAAAATTTTATACGAAGAAAATACTAAGGCATACGGAAATAAGCGYGCTATATTTTCKAAAAATTCGCTTCATAAAATCAACAAATCTGCACATGGGAGCAGCATAAATGCTCCCAAAGAAAAACACAACCGTGGTAGCTATCTACTTTTACAAAATGGAATGCTGTCCGGATCCAGACTGCCGAAAATTTTATAAAATCCCGAATTTTTCTCAAAAAACTCATTTAGTTTCTGTTAGTCTGCACAAAATCTTTGTAATTGAACTGGCCAATTACAACCTGAAGCATTCCTGAAGCAAAAATTCCCCAGCATGAACCGTTTGGCTAAAATAATTTGTTTAGAGTGTGAAATTTGGCAAAAACAGGCCAATATCTAAATAAGTAGTGCAATATCGCAGCCACTCAGGGCTCTCTCCGTTAAACCATTACAAAACAATAAGCACTTCCTACCTACCTTTAGGCATTTTGGTCTGTATTATGAGCTGTTTTATCGTTCAACATTACAGGTAAGATTACCTGCCAAAGCAATAAAAAGTATAGTTCACAACTACATATCAAAAGAGTCTTTGGTAGAAAACCTCATTCATCGTTATCGTATAACATCTGAGGTTAAATTATTTCCACCACATTACCAGATTTCTGAAAGTTGGCGCCTCATCCTCCATTTTCTAACCATTAATCCTAAAAAAAACCAAAAGGCTCTGGAATTCATCATTCGATCAAAGCGGAAGAACTCGGTTCCTTCATCAAAACATGAGTATCATTTTCCCGATATTTCAAAAAACCAGAGATAAGTAGTTAGATTCTACTAATCTCTGAAAAACTGAAAAAAATAGTCTGAAGATCTTTGACCATCAAAAGCCGAGGAGGCAGATATTTCTTCGGAATCAAATTTAGTTCAAATTGTCTGTTTTGAGCCAAAAAATGTCGCGGTACCGTTGCGATCATCGGCTTACATCTTATTTAGAATGGACACTAATTGTGGGATTTGGCAATAGAAAAGCTAATGTGAGAGTAACAGCAAGAGAAAAAACTCGCAACTGAAAATATTAATCGAGCGGTTTATTGAAGCTAAGGGTTTTTTCTCTGCCATAAATGTTGTCTGGAAATTCCACATAAGGACAAAAACCCAAAAATTTGAAAATGGTCTTGAAAAAACCAAAGATGACTTGAGCAAACGTGTGACAAAATGAAGAAAAATCATTCTCAATGATTAAAGACGAAAGCGGAGAAGAATCTACAGCAAGGTTTCGAATGAACTAACAGAAAGGGCTGATCAATTCATGTTATTTTTAAAAATACAGTAAGCTTTATGGACACATTGCGTAAGCAATAAGTATTATCATTAATGATTTTATTGTCTTAATAAAACTTGCTGTCACAATTCAGGGGAATACCTGGTAGTAAAATTATAGTAGAGGAGAAGTTGACTAGTTAGACTAGAAGAAAAGTGTTTTTGGTGATAATGAGTGATGATTATCATGTCTTGTCCATCACCTATACTATCTTGCACATTTATCAACAGGTACCAGTGGCGTAAATTATGCTGAATATATAAGCCAAGAGTCATATTTGATTCCTATAGAATCGAAGCCAAATGCTTACAAATTTTGCTATATATTGTAACATTTTGAATTTCAAATATATAATGTAGAGACGGAGGTCATCAAATCGAAGAATTTCTCATGCTTAGAATTAATCGATAGGCATTAATGATTAAAGACAATGGATGGGCCTCAAAAAGTGCCAATCCCCAAAAATTTGTAGGTTGTGAGGACAAAATTGCTCTAATTTGGAACATCTAGAAGCAAAATAAAATGGACCATCATAGGATCGGAAGGGAGAAGAAAGGTCGAAAATAAAACTATAAGGAAAAAAGGCACATATTATAACAGAAAATATAAAACAGGATAAATGAAACGATAAAAGAAGATCAAAGTTTGAAACATCTAAAAACCAAAATGAAAGATAGAAAATGAAGACGGGAAGGCGCTCGCACGGTCATGAGCGAATTAAGCTGCTGAAGAAGCAGGAGAAGTAAAAAAAGAAATTCCCGAAGGAAAGATCTTGTCTCTGACCAACACTGTCTACTAAAATTTATTCTCTATATAAATTCGACAACCTAACGCTAACAGGAATAGTTCAATTTTACGCACTATTAAAAGGCTCACAAGAGGCATTTATTCTTGTTTATGGACTGCAAAGCTGCTTTAAACGCCGATTTCCCTAATGCCCAAATCCTTGCTTTTCAAGCCCTAAGCAAATTCATTTAATATAAATAAATTTGAACTGTACTAACACGGATACATATATATTTCTAAATCTCAAACTCATCAGCGTATAACAAAATCAACCAAAGTACATCCGGTCTTCATCATCATCCAAAGCGTCCCGGGCAATTTTGCTTGTTCGCCTCGACTTCCGCTTCTTACCGCATATATCAAAGCCGACTGGAATGCAATTCTTCACCACCAAAGTGGCCATGCTTCGCTTATTCCTCAACGTCTTCGTTACGTACATCGTGCTGGTTTCAAATATCCGCTTTCGATGGTAGTTGGGCAGTATCGTTTCAAGTTGGTCCAGACGATCTTCAATCAGCATTTCCTGGACTTTCTTCGCGGTCATTGAAGGAGTGTGCCGGTTGGCACCAGAACCAAACGAGCGATATTCTTCCTCAGATTCACTGGGTTCTAAAAGGCCGATATCTGGATGGATGGCGGTTAGTGGGTTCAACTGCTTACCAATTCTGTCGAAGGAAACTTTCAAGCTGAACTTATCTGGTTTGGGCGAGTATTCTTCTGAGTTCACATCAATGGCCGATTCGACTCTTTGCTCAACTTGGCCCTTTAAAAAATACTCTTTGGTGATCAGCTTGTTGATGTTCCCAGCCATTCGGTTCTCATGCTTGCAAAGCTTCTGCTTTGAGCTGTACTTCACGCAGACCGGATTTACATACACATATTTTGTTTTAACTTGCAAAACTCGTGTGGTAACCACCGGTGTTGGCTGAATACTATTAATCTTGCTTCGATAACCATCAATGTCCACTTTCTTCAGATTGTCAGGGATGAGCAACTGGTCCATGTAGGGCATACTTTGGCTCATCACATCAATATAATTCTTTGGCCGGTAGAACTTGGCACATTCCTCCAGCAGATTGTTGCCTTGCACCAAAACACTATAAAACACTGCCAACACTAGTCCCAAGTACCACATTATCACTAGTGAACCAGTGGCTCCGGTCTACTGTAAACAATAACCATGTGAGTGGATTTGAAGCCTACAAAGGCCCGAAGGCCTGATTACATGGTTTACGTTTAATACACGACTTCTAGTGCAATTTTGTCGGGTATTCAGCATACGATTTCCTAGTGGAAACACATGAACGTAGTGGTGCTTATTTGCAAGTAAATTAGGAATTTTAATTCAACAGTTCGTACGATAACCATTTTTGAAAGAAACTATCAAACTTCATTTTTTTCTCTTTCAAATTATGTAGGAAATTAAACAATTATTCCCGTCACGAAATTAAGCAGATTGGAGGTTCTACTAGAACTAGACGAGGACAACCATTTTTAATACAATCTTTTGGTTTCATCGTCAGGACTTAGAAACAGCGCAATCTTGCAGTTGGTCTGTTTTAGACAGTCAGTGAAAAGAGTGTGGAAAAATGATCAAAATATTAACCAAATTTGGATGTTTTGATGTTAAAAGTCCTCTTTGTTACGCCGCTGGTCAAATACCGTTTTAAATGCAACGGCATGTGTTTCTATAATTATATAGAATTTATTTGGGTAGCGAGAAGATTTAATAATCATGGCGTTTATAGTCTGGTTCAATTTCCGCAGATGATCTTGATTAATATCGCTGTTACGGTTCTATTTCAACAGGCATCCTCAGCGTTATTTAACCTGATCTACATATGCAACTGGAGCATACATATTTTGCATTAATTTGTGTACGAAATACAGCAAAGCTATCTAAAACAATAAAACATCCATTCAGTGACTGGAGATCAAAGGAGGATAAGCAGATAATCAATTAGGAAACTAAAAAGTGTTTCATTCAACCAACTTCCAATGGAAAAACGCTTTTGCTAATAAGAAGATCATTCATATGAGTTCTTCAACGTTACGTTCCATTGTTTCAAGTCTGCAGCTCTAGTTTGAAAGTTCGGATAAAGCCCTCTTGCCGCAGGGCATAATACGGAGAACAGATAGCGTCAAGTGTATATGTTGTTCGTAAAATAGTGAAATTTTCAAAGATAAAACCGACTTACTTAAGTTTAATGTTTGATAAAAAACGTCGCGGTTATGATAATGCGACATTTGTAAGCGCAATGTGGCGGATCTTAAAGAGTTGTTAGAACTCGATGTCTTTATGACTTGGCGGCATATTCCTCCAGTGTATAAGCGATATATTTTTATAATGGCTTGTACAGGCACGAGGATTTCGTTTAAGTATGATTTTATAGGCGATTGAGTATGGAAACTGTCTCCGTATTGGTCTGGTAATAACCGAATGATCTTTGCTAGACAACTAGTAATAAAATCGACAGTTTTTTCGAAGGCTTTCCCTAAATCTCCTTCCATTATAGGTGCTAGTTTCTACCTCAATTTTCTATGCTATCTCTTTCCCGCTCTGATAATTCAACTAAAAAATTGTAAATATCTAGTTTAATCTCGTGGTTTCACCCTGAGGAGAAACTTCACACAAACTTGCCAAATCTCCAAGTAATAAATCCCGGCATTTCTTTATCAAACATCGATATTAAAAGACAGTTTGTTAGAGATTTGGGTTAAACTCTCCCGGAAGATTTCCCATCCCGGTCCCTAAATAGACCTTGCCGCTCGGAGGGCACAAGTTTACAAAACATCGAACGCGCCATTTGGTTATGGGGCTTTTCTTTCGTCGATTTAAGTTCCATTAAGTTCAGATCAACGATTAATTTGATATCGGATCCCTTTTCTTAAGTTTCGCCCCCATTAGGTCAGTTGTGCGGGTGCATGTACTTAAGAACAGCAGCGTAACCGACGGATTTTTGGATATTTGCCGATAAATAAAAACAATGAAAATTACAAAAAATGACTGGAATAGTGAGTTCTGTCCATCTCCAAACTAAGCACAAAACCTTAAACAAATCCTGACTTTTCAAGCTTTTCTAGCAGCCGTGGCCCCAAGATTTTTCTTTGAAGATTAAGTGGCTGCTTAATGACCTGATTTTTTGCCGCAGATAAAAAAGGTCGAAAAGTGAAGCGCCACTGTTTCACTATAAGATACAGCCGTCGTTATTCATCTTTGATAGGTCATTTACATGATTGATGCTACCAACATGCCTCTATCGTCTTATGGTCATCGATTTCAGCATTACCGGACCTGTCAATACACGGAACTAAACATCCTACTGGGCGATTCTTCTGGGGAAAATTCTAAAAATCCACTTCACAATTGAAACTTGATTTTCTTCCGATCTTTGTTCAGGCTGTTGGCCCTTAAAGGTGCAATAATTGTCGCGTTGATTTTAAAATTATTAGTTTCTGCTGATCCGAACGGTATTTTCTTGCCGGCCAGCAAAAACATCCCTAACGGCCCAGACCACGCAAAATTACCCTGAAGAAATTTAATCAAGAAGAATTGGGTAAAAAGAAAAATAGGGAGCTCCATCTCAGATGGGCCTGTAAACGCTAAAATCTTGTTTCTGCTTGAGGCACTAATCCGGGAAATTTGGCAAATGAAATCCATGTTGCTTGTGAGCGCTATGGATTTTTTGAAAAGTGACTCTAATAACTATAAATTTTTCCCAAACAAATTAATTTTTTAGTGCTTGAGAAATTAGATTTCTTGATTTCTTCAGTTGAAACCCATGTAAAATAATTACAATGAAAAATTTGTTTCTCTAACAGTAGAGCAAATTTGGCCAAATGCCTAAAAGTCACAGAAGATTAATTTTCAATTGTTCACGCTACGGAAACAAGACAAGACAGAACGAAAACTTTTCACCAGTCAACAGACTGCACTTTTCTCTATCAGTTCCGGGGAATCTACGCAAATTGCAGTTTTCTTGCAATTTTGACGATTTTTTGAAAATAGAAGTACAAAAGTGAGAAAATGCTCCCAAATTATTAATTAATGAACATATTAAATCTGAATAGTTTCGCACATAGAACGACATAGAGCGATGCTTTATAAACCGTCAATAGCGCAGAGCTTCCTCTATTAGTGCCAGAAAAGTCCTGCCAATATTAGTTTCGATTCAGTTTCAGCGATGTTTCCAGAAAGAGGAGTGCAAAATGGACCAAATGCTCCAAAATCATGGTCGGTGATTTTTCAATAGCACATATTTCGGAAGCTAGAGCAGATAGGGTGATTTTTATTACACCAGAGAGTCTAATTTCCTCATTAGTGCCGGAACAAATCCACAGTAATGTCAATTATCATTGAGTTTCTGCGAGTTTTACTTAATTTGAATGCAAAGGTAGCCAAATGCTCTAAAATCCCAGTGGATTAATTTCCAGGAGCTCAATATTCGGAAACAAAAAAACGCACTTTTTTTCATCACTCGATAGAACGCATTTTTCTCTTTTAGTGCTAAAACAAGGCAGAACGTCGATTTCAACACCAGTTAATAGACCGCACTTTTTGCTATCAGTTCCGGAAAATCCGCACCAATGGCAGTTCTCTTGCAGTTTTGACGATTTTTTTGTAAATAGATGTACATAAGTGACCAAATGTCGAATAGTTTCGGACACAGAACAAGACTTATTACATAAGAGCGATGCTTATTACATCAGTCGATAGGGCATATCTTCCCCTATTAGTGCCGGAAAATCCTCGTCAATGGAAGCTTCCATTGAGTTTCAGCGATTTTTTTATAAAGAGGAGTACAAAGTCATAGAGGACACATTTTCAATAGTTCATTTTTCGAAAACAACACACGATATAGTGATTCTTATTAGACCAATCAATCGAGCGCACTTTCCTCGATTAGTGCGGTAAAATGGACGGCAATGGCAGTTTTTGAGGAGTTTCAGCGACTTTTTACAAACAGGAGGACTAAGGTGAGTAAATGCCCCAAAACCATAGTAGAATGATATTCAATAATTTATTTTTTAAATACAGAATAAGTCACATCAGAGCTTATTGCACTATTAAACCGAGCGCACTTTCCTCTAGTAATTCCGGGAAATCTACAGTAACGTCAGCTTCCATTGAGTCTCGGTGAATTTTCATTAATTGCAATGCAAACGAGGGCAAATGCTCTAAAATCTTAGTGGATTAATTTTGAATAGATCATCCTTCGGAAATAAAAGAAGGCAGAACGACATTTGTTACACCACTCGATAGACCACACTTTCCTCTTTTAGTGTGGTAAATTCCAAAATTCCATGCCAATGACTCTTTTGATGAGTTTTAGACGATTTTTTACATAAAGAGGAGTGCATAAGTGACCAAATTCCTCTCAATATCCAAATAAAAGTGGATTAATTTTCAATTGTTCGTTCTTCGAAAACGAAACAAGGCAGAAGGACATATGTTATGCCACTCGGTATAACGCACTTTTCTCATTTAGTGCGGCAAAATCCATGTCAATGACTATTTTTATGGATTTTTGACTATTTTTTACATTAACAAGAGTGCGTAAGTGACCAAATGCCTCCAAATAACAGTGTATTAATTTTCAAAAGTTCAGCCTTCGGAAATAAAACAGGCAAGGCAGAACGGCACTTCTTCCACTAATCGATAGAACGCACTTTCCTTACTAATGCCAAGAAAATCCAAAGCATTTTTCGCAATTGTGTTAGTAGTTTTAGATGCATTGAAGTAGTGAGGGACTCATTCAAAACCGTAACCTTTCAAAGTTACTTTTAACACAGAAAATTAAGTCTAGACTAAAAAGTTTAATTAATAATCTTCAAATGAAATGAACACAAACTTGCAGAACTTTTTGATGGAATTTCTAGGGTCAGGTGCCCATCGCAGATATTTATTAGATATTTCTTCCACCAATCAAGGTAGGAAAAATGTGAAAAACATAACACAAAAAAAATAAATTATCACAAATAAAGCAACAAGAATCAGATCAGCAGGAAAAAACGAAGGCGAGAAAAATGCACATTAATCCAGGAAATTTATTCACAAATTTTCAGAACATCTGTGATTATTACTTTTACTTAATTAACATATTATAACTGTGCCTACTTGATGTCATAAGCAACTTATTTAGTTCGTTACCGCTGCGATGATCAAGCGATTATCGTGATTAACATTATTTCTGTTTACAATTTTTAATTTCCTATTCTGAAATTTTTGGATGGATTTACCATGT